ATTTTCAGACATTCGCACAGGACCAACTCTTGAACCCGCTATACAGACCATTCATAGGACCTTCAGCAAGAGGAGGCATGATCTTGGTTTCTCTCAATAAAGTTCTGGCATACAGAATCCTGCTCCCTTCGCATCACGTTTGACATATGGTAGTTGTTCGAAATACCTGTCCCCAAAATGGCCATAACATAGGTTCTCTATTTGGTTTGGATCTCGCTTTCTGGAAGTGTATTCCCAATGGTCCCTTCTTTACAAGGACCTTTAGGACAACCCCCATATGCTTTTTGCTCAGATCTGCACTAGGGCAACCTAGAGCGTTTCCTGTTAATGCTAGAACCTGCCCCTCCAGCACCCACCCCTACTTGACACACAACCCCCTTTACACAGAAAGGCGTGCAGTTCGAAGGAATGGAGCCCATGATGACCCGCATAATCCCTGTAAAAAATCACACTTCAGAGCTACTTTCCATTCCCCCCTACGCCGTCAAACCTAAGTCCTGATTCCTAACAACAGTCACGGCAGGGACCCAACAAATCCCAAACCAGGCATCATCTATGGACTTTAGAGTCCAACGTAGGTATTAATCTAATATCTATGGGCTGTAGAGACGCTGTAGATCTACCGTAAAATTTTAGGGGCCTCAGAAAAACATTATTCATAGACTTTGCCCTGAACCCTAAACCCTGCAGGGCCCGACATGGGTTTCATTTACGCACGTGACGGCCACAAGCCAGCATCATTGATCGGCTGCAAAGTTCAGTCTAGAGATTTTACAAACACAAAATACAAACTGCTTGCGGACTTTAAGGCCCAAAGTCGTGTTTATTGATAAACACTAGGGGCCAAAGTAGGCACCTCATAATCATGGAGTTTAGGGTTCCAAGTAATTTTTCTAGAGACCTGACAGGGATCAGGTATTTATAGAGTTTAGCCATGTACAGAACATTTTTCACAACTGACATTTTTTATTCACCGTATGGCCCAAAGTAAAAGTTGTTTTCGACATTAGATCCCCAAATCCTAAACCCTTAACCTTTATACATGTATCCCTAAGGGTCCAAGTACCCAATAATCATATACTTACCACAACCTGTACTATAATCCCTATTACCCAAATCCCAAGTACCTAATTATTGGGTACATGGACCCTTAGGGTGTGTATATATATATATATATGTCCTTCCTAAGCCCTAAACCCAGCCTGTGCGGCTTCGGGCCATTTTTCGTAGCGGAAGGATCCATAGACACGATTTTTGTCTGAGCCATCATCATACCTTAGGTCGTTCCTCCTACAGCCACGGTTACAAGTTGAGCGGTTGAGCTCTAACTATAACATTTTGAGGGGAATGAAGCAAGAGGTTCTTGGTGCAATTTCACGGTTGGAGTCGGTTAGAGTTGGTAGTTTCCAACGTTTATTGTGCTGCACTGTTCCTACATTCCGCACCGAGAAGGGGCAACCAAAGAATTTGTGAAGCTCGAAGGGATAGGAGGTTAGCCTTGTCCGCTTCTCGATGGAAGAGCTGGCGGAGGCCTCATGGCGATTGTTCGAAAGGTGGGGCCGGAAAATGCGTGAAAAAGCGGGGCAGGCGATAGATCTCCGGCACGAAAGGCGGAGCGGTGAGCTTTGCAGGCAGTGCATATTCAGGTTTGCAAAATGAAGCCTTGTGCTTAGCTGGAATTGCTGGAATAGATCGCTACAGCGGTTGCCCTGTAACTGTAATCCCCAGAATAATCCCCAAAAATGTTCCCCCATTCCCAACTGAACCCTACACATTTTAGCATTGCACGGGCCCATGGTTTGTTTTGAGGTGTGTTTGCGGTCCATAAATTATGATTATACAAGGAATCTAATACCGTGATATTGGTAATGGTTGAGGCAAGCCCCTGATTGTTGTGCGGATGTTTATGGATTCTTCGGACCTTCCGTGTGCGTTCGATACGGTTGGAACTATGAGCCGCTGGTATGCGGCCTGTGGGGGGCCTGTGGTGCTCCGGGGGGTGGGGGAAGGCTTGGGGGTGTAAACTCCACAAAATGACACCCTTTCAATAAGAAATGCTCCGCCCAGAAAAAGCCTCCAAATCCCGGAAGATCTTCTAAAATTCTAAAACGGACGATGAATCCGTCTTTGCCTACCAAGCACCGGGAAGAAGGAAAGCCAGGCTGCTGAACGATCAGCCAACGGTTGCACAAGTCTGAGCGTGATCCTCGTAGCTCGCTTCTACACATGTTACAAACCACATAGACAGGTGTGAGAATCCAACGATGATGGGTCTCTAACCCTTAAACCCCAAGCCCTTAAACCCTTAAAACCTGAACCCTAAACCAACTGGGGCTCAGGTATGGATCTACAAGGCCAGAAGTTTGTGATGTCTGGTATTTCCAGAAGATCTAGAAGTCTCGTTTTGGGAGGCCATATGCAAGAAAGCGTGTGTGCTTGGAAACGCCCATCTGCACGCAGCTCTTTGCTGTGGGGAGGGCTAATTTGCAGGGCTTCCATAGGGCAAGCCACTTCGGCCTCTTAGGTTGGGCTCTGTGTAGATGGGTTTAGGGTTTAGGTTTGGGGTTTGGGGTCTAGGGTTATATAATATGTGACCCTAAACCATACACGTGCTTATCTTCTGTTTATAGATACAAATACATATAGAGTCAATTTGTATCTTCTGTATATGCGATGGCTCATGTGCGATTCGCAGTCGGGATGAGAGTTATTCAAAGCTGGTTCTCCCGCGCACCTTGCTTACACAGGGGCCGACTGTTTGTACAAAATTCGTCTGCGGCTGCATAGGGTGTCAAGGAATTTGGATTGGGTGACAAGGTCCCTTCAGGCTAACATTTCAACCTCATGGACACTTTCCTGGATTGCTGTTAGGGAACTTAATTTAAAAAACCATAATGGGTATATACAGAAATCAGTATGGTTTTCCCAATATAGCAACTAAAATTAAGTTCCTCAACAGCAACCCAGCTTCACATTCTACAGGAATATCCTGAGACCCTTGCCTCTGCACATGCTGTTCCCTTTGTCCTCTGACTCATTGGCAGTTATAGCGCTAGCCTAGCAAACTCATTCCCGCGTGCACCGGACTGCCTCCATCCAAACCCAAGCAGACTTCCTCTGGAATGTGAGTTTACTCCTACTGTCTGCAGGCTTCCACCTAATCCCAATCTGATCGGCATGTCCTGAAGCAGCATTGTCAACATCAATTCGAACGGCGCCGACAACCGTCACCAGGAGGGGTAGAAGAAGCATTGTGGCAAACAACATGAAATGTCTTCAGGCTACAAGTCCTCGCTACAGCCAAACAGCTGAAACACGCAGAGCTCGATCTGGGTCCCTTTTGGGTTTAGGGTTTAGGGTTTAGGGAAATTTCCAGGTCGGACCCCTGTTCCTGGGGGCGGGCCCTGTTGCATAAAAATGTCCACAAGATGGCCTGCTTCATTTAGGAGAATGGAAAAGAAAATGGAAACTATAGGGATTATAGGGTTATATAGGGACTTTGGGGTTTTATTGCGCAAATGGAAAATAAAACGAAAACTACTATTTAGGGCTTAGGGTTTAGGGATCATGGCCTTGCGGACCGTGCCTAGGATTGCATTTGAGATGCTGTGCATGGAGAAAACTTTGCACCACCCTATATACAGCACACGAGCTATAGTCGAAACTTCTAGTATCCCCCTTAACATGCCCTGTATGGTCCCCTAGCTATATAATGTCGTATCTAACCAGACTTCAGGAGTTTATGAGACTACAGTTCATGTGTAGATCTGGAAATCTACAGACACATACAAACATGTAGCACACGGGTTGGCGAGCAGAGCTTCGGTGCAGCTGGCGGACTTAAAGCGATACCCCAGGAATTGCAATAGACTACCTAGACCCTCCATCTACCCTTTGAATACGCACTATTAGGGACCATGTTATACCCCTATCTAAGGGTACAAGTAGGATCCTGGTAGAGATTCTAAGCCGCGCAAGATGTACTGCATCCACAGTAGCTGGGCATGGTTGTTGTCCTTTGCACGAACGGACCCCTTCACGGTTTACATGCCCTCTTCCCAATACCCTAAGGCCCTAGGGGCCCAAGTACCCCATAATTGGGTAATTGGATATCTTATTTAGGTAATAATAATTGTAGTGCAGTATTTGGGTTTTCGGGCAAGTATATGAGTATGAAGTACTTGGACCGTTAGGCTAGGGGATACAGTACATCTATGAAAGGCCAGGACTAAAGTCCTAGAATGATAGCATTCCATCTCGGATCGCCTCCATGGCGATTCAACAATGATATCGCCATGCAGTAGTGAACATTTTGAACATGGGGCAGAGCGATCAATCTAGTTTAACTGGGCTGCTGTTAAGGAACTCAAATTAAGCTGCTATATTGGGGAAACCATATCAATCACTATATATACATATGATATAAATACACCGATTATGGTAACTTAAACTAAGGTCCTTAACAGCAACCCAGTTAACAAGCCGTGGCTCGGCCTTCTATCATCCAGCATGCCATGTCTGACATGAAGACCTTGAACCGTCGGGCTACGGCACCGATTACCTCTTTGTCCGTAATGCTCACTCGCAACTTGTCCCGTGACACGCTGAAAGATCCAAAGGGCGTAGCTTCCAAAGCAGTTAATTACCTTGACGAAAAGCCGCATAGCGTGCCAGTTTGGGGGGTCCATGTCGCGTGGACCCGTAATGAAGGCAGGTCTGTGTGACTGAGCCCCCAACTAAGTTGAGCGCCAGGATGATGAGGAATGCCTGGGCCACGGTAGGTACAAAAAGCCTGCTCCTTGACTATGCAGCGCTTTCTTGTCTTGCAGCATGAAGGCACATGAAAGCAACATTCAGAGCAGCTGTGCAAGCATCGGTTTTACTCTCACCTCCTCTTGTGTGTCCGCACGCTTGCCGCAACAGGATGCGGGCCTGCTATCCTAGGCCTTCTGTGGCACCAGGAGACTCCCTCCATTTTGGAGTCCACAGGTGCCTAGGGCTCAGATCTTGGGTCGAACCGGAACTGTTGCTCCTCTTACTGGGCGGGGGGCGATAGCACCGACGGCAACGGGACCTGGCACCACCGGCCTAGGTGCTGCTCCAAGCACAGGCGCCGCAGGTACCACGGGTCTGGGTCGCACGTTGGGCAAGACTACGCCAGGCGATGCCGCGACCTCAATGCGCGGCCGCTTGGCAGCGCTTGGGTTGAGCTCCCAGGAGGGCCTCAGTGGCGCCCGAGGTGCAACTGTTGGACCGGTAGGAGTGGTGCACGGAACAGGCGCTGGGGCAACTGCAGGTGCTGGTGTCACAGGCATCTTGGGCGTGGCTGCCGCCAAATTTGGTGGCATTGCCTTTGGCTTCGGCGGCACCACGGTTCCGTTGACCACAGGCTTCTCATTCTCCTCAGCCTCCTCCTTGCCCTCTCCCTTCTCCACAGCCTTGAAGTCAGGCTTGGGCGGAAGCTTCAGGATGGGAGTGCGAACGAATTGGCCTGGCATACCTGGCATAGGCGGCAGCGTGGACTCGTCCAGCTCTGGGGCCTCTGGAGCTCCAGCCTCCTCCCGGTGCGCGTAGATTGCCTTTCCGGGGCCACCATGTAATTCGATTCCCGTTTGAATGAAACTCTCCCAGGTGAAAAAGGGGAATGGACGCTTTCCTTGTGGTACTCCAAAATTTGGAAACAGATCAAGGTTTGCCACTGCGCTGCAAAGTCTCCGTTAATGAGCTGACAGGTCTGCATGTTTCAAATGCTGAGCCCTAATAGAAGATCTTCTGCTTGGGTGTTCTGGAACTCCTACTGCTCAAAGATTTTGGAGACTGTTATCAAAAAATCCTGTATACCTATGGTATGATACGCCCCAAAATTCTCTTCAACCCTTGTAGGACCTTCAGCCCTGAAACCTACTTGAAAAGTCCAGGGACTTGGTAAGTAGGGGAATAAAAAGGATGACTGGATTGTTATAGGGGTCACAAGTATTCTTACTAAGTCCCCCTGACCTTGCAAGCAGGCCCGTGCCTGGATATCCATTTTTAACATCTCTCGCTGCCATTGGCCGTTCTTGAAGTAGTCATCCACTACCTGGGCTTCTTTTGAGGAACTCCAAACCCTATAAACCTTAAACCCTATGTTTTTTCAAAAAAGGTGGCCCAACAAGGCACGAAAGCATCCAAAACGGGACCCCTAAGTTTTGGACGCCTCCCCCCAAAAACAAAATGGTCTTGGTACACATTAGTATCTTCTCCTTAAAGCAACCCAGCTACAGCCAAAGGGTAGAGCCGGAAGAGCTCCTCCAGGGCAATTCTGTAGGGATAGGGCTTATGGGACTTAGGACTTGGGAAGGTGTATAGGGATTCATAGGAGTAGGGTGTGCATATATCTATGGGCCTTAGGGCTTGGGGCAGAGATCAGAGCCTATATCCTACATCCTATCAAGTCTCCACTCCTTGAAGAGGTCCACATCCGGCTTCTGCAGCACAACGTCCAAGTAGCGCTCACCCATTAGAGCATCAGACTAGGGCGTCTAAGCTAGTCTCACTATGAGCCATCACCCCCCACGGCTGGGGTATCCGGTGTTCCTTGAGCCAAGTACCCGGAGAACCATCCTCCCTGTTCAGCAGAGCTCGCGCACAGGTGTATGTCCGAGACCCTCAACAAGCTGTAACAAGCTGTTGTCCATCCACACAACCCTTACCTTTGGGGATTTCAATTCACACCCTCCCGATACGTTGTTGAACTTCTGTCAATGCAAGCAAGAGCGCTCTTCTGCAAGGCATGATGACAAACAAGCCAAGCCCAAATGCCGCCCTAGCACAACAGCCGAGTAGACCACAGCCAGCACGACACCTCATGACAGAATCAAAGGCCATACTTGAAACTCCTCTGCACATTACCTGTACTGCTTACACTGCGGCTGCAAACAGATACTATACGAAGGCGCTCGCTCTTATAGCATAGTGGCAATCATATTAGGTTTCCCGTCTATTGCGGGCACATCACTATGACTGGGCAGGGCCTACAAGAAATCCTTCTCAACGCAGCAGGGTTGGGTCTATAAAATGGAGAGTCGTAAAAGCTTTGTGAAAAAAAACCGAACAAGAGAGCTCTAAAAAGGCTCAATACTGAGGCTTTGATATCGTTGTGAAGTAGAGCAGGCCGGAGCTGCATAAGGCCTAAACATGCGCAGTCTTAGTACTTACCACCACCGCCGCCGCCACTGCGGCCCCCCACCACCACCGCGGCCGCCACAACCGCCACCGTAGAAGAAGCTGCAGCCGAGCTTCGCAAAACCAGCTCCACAACCGCAGACTCGGGCAGAAGCACTATAAGGAGCCGTTTGCCTCCTGGGACCCATGGAGCCGCAGCCAACAAATTTGTCTAGATTCTACAAAAAAGCGCCAGTCTCATCTATGTCTGTACCTATGAGGGACTGCGAGCTATTCTGTGGTGGATGTTCGTTCCTTCAAGCCAGATGACATGTCAGGCAGAATTTCAGGAATGCCGGCAAGGTCCCCTTAAGACATGCCTCTCTGCGGCTGAGTTGCCGTAGTAGCCTTAGCCAGCTGCAGGACATACTGCGAATGGACCCCAATAATAGTGCCTATACGACCCGTTACAGTGGTTCCTTGCGTGTCCATTTGCATAAGAACAGGGCTTGCGTCGTGTTTATGCGGATGCACGGAGCTAGCTGGACCTCTGCCACTGCTTCCCGTTTCTGTAAAACCAGCCAGTCTCATTGGATCCCACCCATGAATTAAGATTCTCCGCGAAAAGAGACTGCAACAGGAGCCATAGGAGGCCTAGGTGCCGGCAACTCAGCAAACAAAGCTCACTGTTCACGAGGCTAATCCAAAAAAGTCTCAGATTAGAGGTAGCTTCTGTAGAGCCATTGGGATCACGCCCGCACCCCCCTCCACATACTTGAAAGGCACTGTAGACAGGCTTACACTTTGGAGGGACACGCCCTTTTGACAACTCCATGCATTGCGTGGACATGCATTTGCATGACTACTGCATCTCAGCCACAGCACCATGCGCAGCACATGCAGCCTCATTACTGCAGGATACTGGGCAACTCCCGGTCACTGCTTAGGGGAAATATAGGAACTATTGTGCAATAGATAGATTATATTTGGGCTGTATAGGGATAATGGAAAGAACATGGAAACTACTATCTTAGGGCTAAAAGTGCTGATTTGATTACCTCCTGGACCCCAAGCACGGATCGCTGAGCCACCCACCTAGAGGGACCCATAGATTTCATGGCAAGAACACAAGGCAAATTGGTCCCCACATGCACACATGCAACGTCTCTTATGAGTTCTGACCCATCCAACCTGCAGCCCAACATGGGGAGTTGGCAGGAATATGATTTAGCACGGTGAAATTTCTACCCCAAATACCAAACACACCCCACAAATGTTAAACATTCGTAGCTGCCATGAGCATGGCGACCCTTGCCAACTTACTAGGGTCAAGGGGTTTGGGGCTTCACGCTTCAGAATTGAGAATTGGAGTGATTTGAGCCTTGATTCCAGCGTCAGCTGAGTCTAAGAATCACCATCAGCGCTGATTGCCATTCTTATGCAGCGTGGCAGATCTTGCGGCGCATCTGCAACGAACACTCTCAAGGCCGAAGAAATTCACCCGCATGCTTGTCTATGGAAACCAGTCAGAAAACCTGGAGCCCTCTAAAGAAAGTGGTGCAGATGATACACAACCTCATTCAGCTTGACTTGCTGTGACCACGACCCAGCTCGCGCCGAGCGGCACACAAGCTGGAAGATCTCAAAGGTGCGCCTTAAGCCTCAAGAGTCTGAAGATCGTTGGAATGTGAAGTTGAGAAGTTTAAAGGCTTCGATTTTGCTCACCAGCCTAAGACAAGGTCTTAGCTTAGCTGAGAGCCGCTCAGTCAACCTAACATGAGGCGACATGATGGAGCGGCACACAAGTTGGAAGATCTCAAAGGTGCGCCTTAAGCCTCAAGAGTCTGAAGATCGTTGGAATGTGAAGTTGAGAAGTTTAAAGGCTTCGATTTGAGGCTCACCAGCCTAAGACAAGGTCTTAGCTTAGCTGAGAGCCGCTCAGTCAACCTACCATGAGGCGACATGATGGTGACGTTTTGCGCTACCTTGCCACCAAATGGGGAGCACATGGGGTCAATGCAAAAGGGAACGGATTCTTGAACCACCGAAGGGCCAATCGCCAGAAGGCGTGAGCTTACATCGCCCAGCTGCACCGATATCACCGCCGCCTCGGCTATGCAGAGCTTCGAGATGCAGCTCAGGGTTCAGGCCGAAACACCTTGTGATAAGTAATGGCGCTCTGCCCGGCGTCACATTAGGAGCTCCGATTGAAGACCAAGAAGTACTCCCAATGCGCTTCATCTTCGGAAAAGATGAAGACTTATAGGGTCTAGTATTGTACGGTCTTGTCATTGGCTTCGAAGCTGTGCATACCGCCCAGCTTGCAGATCAACTTACAGGTGCTTAAGGGGGAGGAGTGGACGTTAACATAGAGGTTGTTTACGCCTTGAGCGGGATAGTTAATTATAGGGGTCCACCTCCCACTTCCCCTTAAGCACCAGAAGGCCTTTGTAAATCAGGCCGGAGCCCCAGTCCGTTTCGAAGAATTTTCAACTTGCAAAGAAGCGCCCCAAAAACCTCTACACGCAAACCCTGCAACCTTTCAAATCTGATGCCCCAACTGCTACTACTACCCAGCCTGCACCTTTGCAACTTAGAAATCTTGACATCTCGAACGAGCAGCCATCCACAAGGGCCTATAGATGTTTCAACAGGGTGGACAGTTTATCCTCACGAACTGCTGCGAAGAAACGTGCAGGGGGCTTTGGATCTTCAGTTCCGTGAGTATGGGAGATTCCATAAATCGCAGATCACAATACATGAGCATCCTTATTGTAAGGACTGCCGAAAGGAAAACCGACGTTTTGAGTAAAAAAGAAAACACCAACAACTCCTGACTTCTCCTGTGTGGCCCTATATGACCCTTTCAGTCAAATCCATCCTCCCCTGTTTTGTAGCAAAGCATCGAAAGCAAAGGCTGCACTGATCCCTATATGACCCTTTCAGTCAAATCCATCCTCCCCTGTTTTGTAGCAAAGCATCGAAAGCAAAGGCTGCACTGATCGACAGCAGCCACGAAGCCCTTCCGTGGTTGTAGGAATCTTGCACAACCAACCATTAATACTATAAATCCTGCAGGACCCTTTAAGTACCCTAAACCATGGAAATCATGGTAGTCTAGGAGACCTTACATCTAGGACTCCTGAGGTTCCATATCTCCCGCTAAGCCTAATGCACTGTAGCAATACTACTGTTGATGCCACACATCCTGCTGGACCATATGATGCCAGAGTCTAAACTCCTAGTAACCCCCTTAACAACCCCTAGAACAGTCCCTATATAGTCCCCTATAACCACCTTTCAGAAGTGTAGACAATGGCTCATATAATGCTGCAATTCCAATTTGACCAGACCTTGGCGATGTAGAAAGCCTTGGGCCTAGGGTTAAAAGGGTTTAGGGCTTAGGATCACCAATGTCCCACACCTAACCCCTGAGTTCGCCAGAAAGAGATGTCCTCCAAAATGAAAGCGCTGAAGCAGCAGAAGACGGGGATCAACATTCTGGGAACCTTCTCCTGGCTCCCAACAGACGGTACCTTGATCTCCATTTCCCCGCCGCCTAAGTACTAAGCCCTCAACCCCTCACAAACTTCATATAAACCTTGAAGCCCCTTAAGCCCCGAATAGAAGGGTTCCAAAAATCAGGGTCCTTTCGGGGAGTAACACACACACTAAAAGGGTTATGAGACTTTGGGGTATATGGGCGCCTCCGATAACAAGGGACTGTAGAGACCTTATAGGAATAAAGGATGCGGGACTTGTGGGAGTCCAATTAAATATCAGAACGGGAGTATCTTGAGACACTCGCATTGATGCGCAGTAAACCGTAAACCCTAAACCGAATGAGGGAAAGAATCCCTAGAGCTGTGCCTTAACAAAAGTCCCCTGTAATAATCGCTAAGAAACCATTCCGCCATTCCATGAACCCTACAAACCGTAAGTCCTAAACCCTTAACCCTAAACCCTCAAGTCCATATAAACTTGCCATTGCTTCGGGTTCTCAAATTTCCTTTAACCTCATAATTTCAAACTTCAAAACTTCAAAATTAAAGATCCGCCCCAAAACCCGAAGGAATTGTAATGAAACCTAAACCCTAAACCCAACCGAAGCAGTGTGGGACCTGGTGGCTGGCGGCTCATTGCCTTCTGGATCCGGCAGCCTCTCCAGCGGTTCTACTCATCTTAGTGCGGGTTAGGAGGTTAGTTTAGGGGTTTAGGTTTAGGTTCTAGGGGTGTAGGGTTTAGGGGTTTAGGGGTTCCGGATCTAGGGATTTAGGGCTTCGGGCTTGGGATTTGGATGTAGGGTTTAGGATTTGGGGTTGCAGATTTAGGGATATTTGAGGTTTAGGGCTGAAGG